TTCGCGTACCCTGATTATATTTTTAAAAGCAAATTCGGATTATGCGTACGTGCAATTTCGAGCAAATATTTAATAAAAAACTATAATATGGTCAATTTTATTGTGTACACGTATGCGTGACACGATCCTCTGTAATTATAAAAGGTATATAATACGAATATACGTACGCGTAATTCGTTATATAATTGTAAACAATAAATAAAAGCGGTAATAAAATCATGCAATAAAAACGTATTTAGTAAAATCAAGATAATTAAGCCAATAATAAAAACAGTTAAGCGACCGTGCTAGAACCACGGAATTCGGAAATGCCTAACACCTTCTTCCGGATTAATAGAATTCCTTACTCAGGATTTCTGGTTCGCAGAATAATAAACAGAGTCATATTCTCCTCGATTCAGGGATTAAAACCGGTGACTTGGGACGCCTTAAAATTCCCATGTGGCGACTCTGAAATAATTAAATAAATCCCGTTTCGACTGTCCTTCAATTGGAGAAAACTCCCTACGCGCCCCGCAGGCGCGGAAAAAGGAGGTGTGACAAGTATTATATTACAAGAGAATCATTTTTGCCAAGGGTTTGTTGATTATGCAAATTCAAGGCTGAAGTTCGTTTTTAAGCAATCTATTTGCATGTGAGGGTATTGTCATATTATGATATTCTATAAATACTGTCAATTATTGATTCAAGTCATGCTAAGATATAAGCAAGTGACTTAACACAACAAATGTGATTTTTTTTTAAAAAGAAGACTTCAATAATATTGAAGACAATGTTGCTTACTTATCTCAATTGGAAGGATATATTGAAGGCGACAAAGTAAATCACATTTCACTAAAGTTCTTTTTAGACATGATTTTTGATAGATTGGTGATATAGATGTTCAACAAATTTATTTGATTGATAATTTGGTAGATTTGTTCAATAAATCATTACCAACCTCAACATTTGAGAAGCTGGTATACGGGATTGGAATGCGTCATTTCCGAAAAGTAAAGTGATGTTTTCATTAGGGGGGAGTAAGATACGCGCTGCACTCTTTTCTCCTTAGCAGAAGTTTTATCCCACTGGGTTTTCCTAGCAAGGTTTTTAACGAGGCAACAAACAATGTGTATTATAAGATGTGTACTCTTTTTCCTTCACTAAGATTTTTTCCTATAGGATTTTTTTCTTAGTAAGGTTTTAACGAGGCACATTATCTATAGACATCCAGGGGGGGGGGTGTTGTGAAATATTATAATTATATTAGTGGATGTCTATAACTTCTAAAGAAGTTACTTTCACTACTCTTCTCTATTAACCTCCCACTACTTCTTACCATTATGGTTGTAACTCCCACACCTCCATAACTTCTTTCATGATCTTCTCCTATGATTTCAATAGTTAATACCATGTTCATGAGATCCTTTTGTATTACCTTAATATCATCCTATAAATAGAGAGTTTGAGCATCACATTATAGACACTTGATGAAATAAGAAAGTTCTTTCATTTTCCTCTATGGGTGTGTTTGGTAAATTAATATGAAAGAAAATATTTTACGGAAAATATTTTCTAATATTCCATGTTTGGTTAATGTTTTGAAAAATATTTTCTTTATGAACTCTCACCAACCTACCCCACACCCCACACCTACCAACCCAACCCCACCCTACACCTACCCACCCCACCACCTCTCTCCAAAAAGTTTTTTTTCCGCCACCACCCACCATGCTACCCCTTCCCTCCCCTCCCCCGGGTAAAAAAATTTATTTTTTTAAAAAAAATTCAAATTTCAATTTTATTTTTTATTTTTTTGAACCACTCACCCCCACCCCCACCCCACCCCACTATGCACAAAAAATTTGTTTACTTTTTTTTTTATATAATTTTCGAATTTCTGTTTTTGCATTTTTCTGCAACCCCACTCCCTAAAAAACTTTTTTTGTGGTTTTAAATTTTTATTTTTTCGTTTTTCTGCACCCTCCCCCCCCTTCCCGGAATAAATAATTTTTATATATTTTCAGTTTTAGTTTTTTCATCTTTCGGTTTACAGGTTCAAACTTTTATAAGTTCAAAGTTATGAGTTCAGAGGTTTATGTGTTTGGAAGTTTACGGGTTTAGAAATTATAAAGTTTACGGGGTTTGAAAGTTTGCAGTTTCGAAAGTTTAGCGGTTTGGAAGTTTATGAAATTTGTGGTTCGGAAGGTTGTTGGTTCGAAAGTTTATGGCTTCATGTTTATTGTATCTAAATTATTTATGAATACTCTTGAAAAATTATTTTTCTTAATTTGCATACCAAACACCGAAAAATAAATAAGTATACTACTTATTTTCCAATAAAATATTTTCCGTTATATCAAACACATTTTGTATCTCTTGTCTATTTTCTTATTTTATATTATTACTTTGCGCTATATTTCATAATAATAACTTATTTATACCTTTATGTTTGCGAATACAAAAAATTTGCCGACACATGTAAGATGTTCTTTTGCCCCTTATCCTCCCAACTATTTCTTTCATTTTCTATTATTCTCTTTCTGTATCATTAGTGCATTTCTCTTATTAATAAGCCACAGTTTGAGGAGTTTAGGGTCAACATCTCTCCTTTGTTGTAGACATGTGGAAAATTTTATAAAGTATTGTAAAATGATATTTCTTCGGTCCAAAATAAGTGATTTTTTGGATATTTTTATACATATTAAAAAATTTATCTTTTAGCATTAATTAGCAATGGAATTGACCATATTAACCCTTACTATCTCACATAAACGAGAAGTTTTATTTTGTGTCTCATACAACTTATACTAGTTGTATGAAGCTCCTTTTTATCTCACAAATTTGTGGACCCCAATCTTACACTTCTGGGTCCACAGAAATCTGGGTCCACAAAACTGTGAGACAAAAAAGTTGCCTCATACAACTAGTGTCAGTTGTATGAGACACAAAATAAAATTTTCCCACATAAACACTCCTAACACATATTCCAACACTATTTACTCCAAGAATAATGTAGGGAAAAAATAATTAATTTATTCTTGAAATCCGAAAAAATTATTTATTTTGAACCACAATAAAAAGACCAAAAAATCACTTATTTTGAACCGGATGGAGTAGCTCCTCTAAAAAAAAAGTTGCAAAGGTGAAGAAAAATGTATGTTAAGTCAGGAGCTTGGGGTCGTCAGGGGTATTTTGGGAATTTCCGGTTCATCTTTCTTACCTTTGGACATACGTGTTATTCTCTGCAATGGTAGCCCTACTTGATAAAATCCACTCTCCATGTTGCCGCCTTCCAAGCTTTACAGGTCTATCATTGTTTTGTTGGACTCTTTCTGGTTACTCTTCACTTGCTTAATATTTATTAGGCGACACAATTTTTGAATTTAGGGCTCCCGGTATTGACGCCCCTAAACAATAGCAATAGCATGAATCCTAAGCTACGGCACGCGAAGGAATGGTTCCATGAATCATGGGCGGATCTTAACATATTTCCCATTAGAGGACTATTACGACTACATCATCGTCGAGGCGCCCCGATCTGAACATGCCAGGTTGGTTGACAAACCCAAGGGCAATGCCGGGGGGAAGGGGCAGCCGGAAAGGATAGTTCTTGAGGTTCTAGAAAATAATAAACAGGAGCGTGGGTACATACAAACGGATGGGATAAGAATCATTTTTTAATTAAATATTTAAAAAATTATTTACTTGAACTTGTTCTTTCAAAAAAAATAAAAGGGTCAGTCAATGTTTATTCGGTTATTGAAGATTTATTAGTGTTTAAAAAAGTTCTTGTGATGTGAATTTTGTAAAGTAACGTTCCAATTAAACTATGCAAACTAAAAATAAATGTAATTTCCTAACATGCATTTAGGAAGGAACAACGAAATTTTCAGTTGGAAAAGTTAATTCTTCATATTTTTTAATATATTTTGTATGTTTAATTTGGAAACAGTCTCTCTATCCTTCGGGGTAAGGGTAAGGTCTGCGTACATATTACCCTCCCCAAACCCACTTGTGAGATTATACTGGGTCGTTGTTGTTGTTGTTGTTGTTGTTGTATTTTGTATGTTTAATTTGGATGAACATCTATAAACATTATTTTGAAGTATTAAAATAATTTGTCATTTTATTAAATTTTATCTCTATATGTTAGGAACTTCATTAATTTCTTAGCAAAATGGAGTAAAAAAGGTTAGTAAATATGGATTATAGATATAATAATACAGTACTTTTATTTGTCAAACAACAAGCTTGAGCATAAAACATAACTGTCATGTTAACTATACAATTTAGAGATAACATATAACTTATTTTATTTAAAAAATCAATCTAAAACGTTCCGTTAGCATGCTTTCCCTATATTTTTACTTTGTTCCTACAATTTCTCAAATGCGTTGCTAATAAATCAGTTAATTTCCAAGTTCCAAACCTCTTTTGTAATAAATTACATATAATTGTGCCCTATCACTTTCTTTTTTTTCAAGTCAGAGTGCCTCGTGTTCGAGCATTGAAAATAATTTTTTTTATAAATAACTTTTCCCCTTTAATAACCTTATGCAACACAAATTTAAATAGGTGTAGCGAGAGTTAGGCTTGTCCCTTAGGAGGTAGTCGGGAGTTTTTTTTTTGTCTTGTAGCAGAATAGTAGTTTTGTATTTCATTATCTCAGACTTCTATTACTATGTGTTATTTCTTTTCTTTGATTTTCCTATTATTTTGAAGTTGCTAATGCTTTTCTCTTTATGGGTTCTTCACTTCCGTCGAGATTTTATTTTTCTCAAGTCAAAATTTATCAGAAACAACCTCTTTATAAAGTCTGCATGCACACTATCCTCCTTATATAATTACAAAGTAAATATGTTGCATCGAAAATTGGGTGGGAAAAAAAATTAATGTTGCTTCAAGGTGACTTTCCCATGTACAATCTATTGTTCCGTAGGAAGCTTTAACGTAACTGGTAAAGTTGTTGTTACGTGATCAAGAGGTCACAAGAGTTCGAAACATGGAAACGGCCTCGCCTTGTGGTCCGACTCTTCATTGAACTCCGTGCATAGCAGTAACTTAGTGCACTCCCCCGAATAGGAAAAAAGGTACATAGTGGTGCATCCACAAAACTCTGCTCCGGATAGTACTTGTTATTATTATTGAATTAAACGTTCATCCCTACAAAAGGAGAATCGGCTGCACGAGGAAAAGAGTCACAGAAGTCCTGCGAATTTCAATACAAAGAGGGCCGAGGGGTCAAAATTAACTTATTTTTGAACTGGGCCACTCCTCACTACAGATCAAGCACGTCAGATTTGAGATTAATTCTCTTTTTTGCTTTCGATTTTCTTGCTCGATCTACGGTAATATCTTCTCCTCATTTTTCTCTATTTTTACGTACACGTGTCATTGCTTTTCTTCATTTCGACTTTTTAATTATATCCTCAATTCATCAATTTTTTTTTTAAATTTTATTACTATACAAATTTGATTTTTGTTTTTTGTTTGTCGACGAGTGTGTTTCGGAAAATTGTGTTATGTTGTCTAATCGCTACTCTATTAATTCGACAGTTTGTTCTGCCGCGGCGAGAATAATGTGCTATAATTACGTATTATGCTTTAATTGCGGGTTGTTTTGCAATCTAATTTGGTGAATTTTGTCCTCTGCTATGAATTCTGCATAATTTTGGATTTACGTGGACTATATTAGAGTTTGTTCGGTCCATCCAATGTGAATATGTGATTGCTGAGAATTGGGCTTGTTTGAAACTTGAATATGCAACGTTAGCTTAAAAGGATTAATAATATATACGCGTACAAGTGTTAGCAATGGTGGGTAGGGAAAGCAAAATCAGACTGTTAGCAATGGTGAATTATGGAGAACAGTGTTGTCAAAGGCGAAAAAGCGTTAAAAAGCGCACAGGTCTATCATGGCTTTAAGCGCAAAGTGCAATTAAAGTGTGGCCTTTAGTTAAAAAAGGCGCAACGAAGAAAAAAATAAAGGTATATACGTAATGCAAGAAAAAAAGTAACAAGTTCATTCATAATGATTTCCTTAAAAATTAATAATATCTTTTAGCCAATTATATTTATTGTATGTACCACTCTATTCAAAATAGAACTTATTGACAATGAGGCGTGGGTCTTAGAGCTTGCCTACACTAAAGCGCAGTCTAAATGAGGGGAAGCGCATACCCTGAGCTTTTTTGAGCTTCAGAGCTTAAGCGCGCCTCAATGAGCCTTTAACAACACTGACGGATAGAACAGAATTAGGTTGTACTTGTGAGTCTGTGATTATTTATTGTGTTTGCTAGCATGCAAAGCTTTTAACTTTCTTTGCTATGATATCCATGAGGGGGAATGGACTGGCAAATGATTCTGAAGCAGACAGAGTAAAAGCACATTGATATTTCTTTTGCCATAGTATAGTGGATGATTCTATATCTGGTTTGTGGTTCAATTGGGATCTAGAGAATATATAGCAGTCTTTTTACTCTCGTACCTTAGCTGTTTTCTCTTTTTGCTTTTATAAAATTTATTCGTCAGGCTCTTGAACAAGCAGTATAAAATATTGTCAACAACTAGATAATGTGGTTCTCAAGGTAGCTTGAAAGACTTAGGTTCACTAAAATTTCAATTGTACTTTTCCTGGCTTTGTACCTGTTCACATGCAATAGATGTATGAGTACAAAGGATGGACATCAACACCTTCAGCCTAGGGATGATCAGCCATCTCCAAAGAGGCCCAATCCCCAGAACAGCTTCTATTTATTGATTTGACATGACTAGGGCGATATGCCACGCTCCTTCCATAGGGTCTTGATTTAGTATTCAGCCATAAACATCTTATTGTTTGATTTAATCACGTAAAATTGTGTTGCTTTACGAAAGTCTAAGAAGAATCAAAAATCGATTTTCAAAAAAAGGGAAGGTTGGAATAAAAGATCATGCCTTAACACGAGGGCTTGGTGAGGCAAAGTCAATTCCAACTGAGCAGGAATAGACGAGGCAAAAGAAAACACTGTTCATATTGGAGCGAAGCCTGCTCTTATTAGTATTTTGGTTAACAGTTTTCAGGTACTCTGTATTTGTTTCCTTCTTATTTTATGACTTCTTTGAAGATTATTACTTTCCTTTTAATTAGTCTATGAATTTCCTTTTTTTGTTTAAGTTAGTTTATTGAGTGGCTAGATAGGAACCCTAGCTAGCTTAAAATTAGAGTTATTAGGGTCCTTTTTTCACATATAGGATTCCTTCAATTCCTCATTTCACCACTGTTTCTAAGCCTTTGTTCTTGTGGAATTGATGGCCATGCTTAGCTGGAGGGGATAAGAAAATTAAGAAATGGAATTCACATAGCTAATGGCTTTACCATCTTTCTTTATGGTCTGCAGTCTGCATTGATTGCTATCGACTCAAGTTTTCTTCAAGTCTCATATACTAACACCCTTCTTACTTTGGGGTTTCCTTAAATTAAAATTGCTTATTTAATTTCTTATGTTTACAGGTGGTGGCATTTCTTTGCAGTCAAGAGAATAAGTGAAGCTTCCAAGGATCATCTCGTAGTTCTCTTCCATTTTGAAGCTTAGACATGGCAGAAAAGGCATGTGTAAAGCGACTCCAGAAGGAATATAGAGCACTTTGTAAAGTATGTAACCTTTTTGCTGCTGGGAATATATTCTACATAAATTTGTTGCAGTACCAGACAACTTCCTTTACTCTCCCATGAATGAGAAAGACAGTCTCGCTACTTAAAGCGTTGGTCAACCACATTGGATCTTACATGTTATGAACCCTACTTGTGGCTTTCATCTTCTTGCCCCTCATGACATTACCACTCTAAATTTGTCATTAGCTTTTGTTAACTTACTTGAAGTTTGCTTTTTCTTCACCCCGTTGCCACTTGCCAGATATGAAAAGTATGACACTTGTATCTTAATTTCTGTCACAACTAAGAGCTAAGTTTTATTTCATTGACTTGATACTGGATGGCATCTCCTATGGCTTTGTCAACTAGTCTCTTCTTTGCTGTGTTTAGACATTTTCTACTGTGCTCTGATTCCTCCGAAACTGATGAAGCTTGTTATATTGCAGGAACCTGTCTCCCATGTTGTGGCCCGCCCTTCTCCAAATGATATTCTTGAGTGGCGTAAGTCCCTACTTCTTGTTCTCTATACCTGTATTTCTCAATATACTCGGTTAAACCTTTAGAATTGTATGAACTTTGTCTAGTTCCTTTTTCTATAAGTTAGCTTTGTTTTATTCCTTTTCCTCTTGATACCTTCTCTGCATGAATATTTGTTTCTTCTTCTTTGCGTGCCATGCATCTAAACACATCGTTGGTTATGCAGTCTAATAAGGAATGAACTAGGCTTGAATCACCTAAATGCACTGTCGATAATGCAATCTGATTAGGAATGAAATAGGCATGTAATCTGATACTCTTCTTCTAATACATATTGTTTTACTAGGCTTATTTGCCAGTAGTGATCTTCTTTTAGATTCTTTTAATCAGATAACTCATTACCTTTTTTTCCTAATATTCCTACTTTTACCTAAATCTCATGTCCAGATTACGTGTTGGAGGGGAGTGAAGGAACACCCTTTGCAGGTTTCTACTTTCTCTAACTTTGGTATTTATTGTGCAATGAACTAATACTGTTAGGTGATGTGGTCTTCTTCCTGGACCCTTTTTTCACTATCGTTTTGTCACCTCCGAATACTTTTCTCATTTTTCTCTGAGTTATTCTTGCTCTTGTGATTGTTGCTTGTGAAATGCGGCCAACTCCAATAATAAGGTGGATATTATTATGGGAAGATTAAGTTTCCTCCAGAATATCCATTTAAACCTCCAGGAATCAGGTAATCTAAGTTCAGATCAGTTTGATATTCCCGGACTTGTTTCTCTTTTAGCAATGTATCTCTATAAGGCTTTCCTTTTTGTATTTTATTTTTTTCCTTTTTGGAATCACCTCAACTATGTTTGCTTCGTCTGTAGCATGGTTACTCCAAATGGAAGATTTATGACGCAAAAGAAAATCTGTTTATCTATGAGTGACTGTAAGTGTTTTTGGAGTTGCATTGTAGTCACAATTGCTTGTTGCTTTGAGAGGATTCCATGTTCCTGACCTTCAATTGGCATATTTATTGCTTCACAGTTCACCCAGAGAGTTGGAACCCTATGTGGTCTGTGTCAAGGTAATAAGTTACAATATACTTATCAAAATAGAAAAAGTATGGTGATTTGTCTGGAAATAGTTGCTTTAGGGCCTATATGGTACAAGAACTTTGATTTTCTCTGAAAATATGAGAATAAGGGACGTCTTTTGAATTGAATAAACCTGTTTTATAATTTAAAAAAATATGTGTTTCACCTCTTCCTACTTTTCTGATTACTAAAATATGATTCCAAAAAATTTTCTGATTACTTTTCAGAACAAAATAGCGAAGGCATGTCCTCTTAATTTTTTGATAAAGATGAACATACTTACAGTTCTTATATTGGCTGCATAATTCTTTTTCCATTTGAACTGATTTCCTCTATTTTCCGTGCAGCATACTCACGGGACTGCTCTCATTTATGGTAAAGTTCCTGCAAGTCATACAATGCAAAGTATCTGCATTCCATCTCATCACCGATTATTTTCTGGGTCATGGCCGGTTCTAATGTTGTAGTTAATAAGGCTTGTTCCTTAGGTCCCCAAATGTGGAGGCCCCATTTTTTAGAAATAATAGGTTTATAGGTAATAAAAAAGTTACTTTAGTACTTTTAGTACAAAAGTAGACTTTCTCATATAAAAGGAAAGAAATTTTGTTTAGTAAAGTAATAGTTTGGCTTACTTAAAAATGGGTAGTATATTTGACAAGGAAAATAGTACAAGTAGAAGATACTACTCTAATGGATATACCCTATTACATAAAAAGACTTTTCTTTTCCAAATGCTTAGATTAAATGGGTTGGCTATATTAGTTGAAAAGCAATTATTCAGAAAATTGGTTACAAAGATATTATTAACAACTTTACATTTCAAAAATCTAGAAGAACAGACTTCAAATAAAAATATATATTATAACCCTTTTTAAGAAATTTAGGCCTCACATTAAACTTTGGTGTTAGACCACACATGTACTTGAGCTGCCCCTGTTCTGGGTTCTGCTCTTTCTTTTAGTTCATGTTCATTTTTATGACAGTTTTTCCTTCTTCTGTCTCTGTCCCTCTTTGTGTAAATTTCCATATTAGGCCTGCATTATCCACAATGCATGTTGGTGCTATCTTGAAACCATAGACGACTAAATCCATGAAATAATCTTCCATAATTCCTTTGTTTACAATCTCTTTTTGTTTAGGGAAGCATTCATTTGCATTGATGGTAACTTTTATGTCTACCATGCATTTCCTGCAGATGGACAACAGTCCTACCACAGGCAGTGTAACAACAACAGTTGCTGAAAAACAGAAGCTTGCTAAGGCTTCACTTGCTTTCAATTGTAAAAAGTGAGTCAATTGCGAGTTCCCTGCTGCATACCTTGTATTTGTTTCAGATTGCCTTAAGTGTATAGTTCCTGCAGTACAAGATCTGTTGCGTGAAAAATTGAGCTACTAGTTTCACAATGTTGTCAATTGTTTTAACTGCGCCTTTTATTTGATCCCAGTTGACTTACTAATTATTTTTATGACAGCCCAACCTTTAGAAAATTGTTTCCAGAATATGTGGAGAAGTATGAAGAGGAGAAGGTGATGGTGCATCCTACTCAGGAGCAGGTTTCAACCATACCAACTCAAGCAGAAAATTCTACACCCTTGTTGGATGGTCTGAATAAAGTAGAGCCACATAAAGACGTGAAAAACCAACAGAGGAAATCTTGCCCAACTTGGTTATTGTTGTTGCTAGTATCAGTTTTTGGCGTTGTAATGGCTCTGCCTCTACTTCAGCTTTGATGGTGAGTTCCATTAGGCAGGAAATGTATTATTGCACTACGCTTTAGAACAAAGCATCCGAAATCTGTGGTTGTGTAATCCTTATCTGGGTTATTACCGAGAAGTCCAAAATATTGTAGGATTTTCTTATACTTCTCAAGAATGTATAGGCCTAGTGGACATCATACTGATCTCTAAGTCTAGCTGATGGGTTTTCCTTTTCTACTTTTGTAGTCTTGTCACTTAAAATATGAAATTCTGTGTTGTAATAGTGAAGGGCTCAGAGTTGCAAATGGTGTCTGTTTATCCTTCATTGGTTCCTTTTTTGGCTGGTAGGAGCTATGGTTATCGCGAGGTCAACTTGCTGGTGTTTCTTGAGCTTGTTCAGGAATGCAGTTTACTTATCTAGGTACTTAAAATATGTTCTGTATTAGTGCTTTCTTTTCCTTTTGAGGTTGATCAGTCGTCCTACTACTTGTTTAAACGTGAAAATGTGAATTAGCATCCCAAAACACTAGTGTAATACAAGGGGAAAAAGGAGAGCATAAAGTGCAGTGTGTATGTACCACTACGTTGAATATTTGAACCTAAACTATGTAGGAGTACTGGAGGCATACTTTTGTTCGATAATTGAGAGAATACCCTTGCAATCTGTTGTGGTTTACAATAAAATTTGGTAAAATGCAAGTTTAGATGAGAATCTAATTTCCCATAAATAGTCATGCAGCGATACTCACCAAACCAATAAATGCGATTGAAACTACGCAAAGACAAACAAACACATTCTATTTGTTAGATTCTCTTTTGGCGAAAAGCTTGCCTTTTTACCCTCACATACTTCACAAAGACAAACAAGACATTCTAATTGTTAGATTCTCACATTGGAGTGGGATGAGATTATTTGCCTCTTTATATTATCTTGGACGATCCTTGCCTCATGAGTTAGTTTCAATGGACAATTCTCGTCTCGTGAACTAGCTTTAGAGATTAAGTTAGGCTCAATGTTCATTTCTTATCACAACTAATCCATGTATTTTTAGGCCAAAATACAATGTGATCTAAGAAGTGATTTGCCAAAACTGACCAAATTCATATGAAGAAAGAAAGCTGAAACTGTGATCATATCATTGTAGCAGCCAGAAAATATAAGAAAACTAACAGTCATAGAAATAACTGAAATTACTCTTCTGTAAGAGAAAGATTGCTTCATTCTCAAACAGAGAGGCCCACTGCATTGTTTACACATATACAATATATTCACTGCCTATATGCAGATGAAAGTTTCAATCTTTACATCTACATCAAGAATCAAAAACTTCGAACAAATGAATGGGAGTTCTGGAGATACCCATTCGTCTCCAAATTCTGTAGCAAACATCAGAAAATATCGAAGCTAATATCACATTATAGCTCAACTATCCATATTTATAAATTCCTACTAGCTCTGGCATCTCGCGGAAACGCAGGGTAAGACTGCATATAATAGACCCTTATGGTCTGGTCCTTCCCCGAATCCCACGCATAGCGGGAGCTTAATGCACCGGACTGCCCAACTAGCTCTGGCCTCTGCCTCCTTGTTCAACACCCATAATTCTTGGACTAGAAGGATTAACCCTCCTATCCCTACTCAACAGCCTTTTCAAAGACCTCAATCTTGTGGACATTATTGGAGATTTCTGTTCATCTTCTGCTTCATTTGTTTGGCTCGGAATATCAATCACCAATGCTACACAACGCCTATCACTCGTAGAGGCAAATGACGACGACAAGGATGATGAAGATGGTGGTGGTGGTGGTGGAGGACAAGGCGCGTTAGAAGAAGAATTAGGACCTTGTAAAGAGTCCTCCAAACTACTCACTTGAGTCTCATTCCCCCAAAACAAGATATTGGTTGGGAAATTTGCCACCTCTATAGAAACTGAATTCTCTTCTTCCACTGTTAATAATTCTATAGAGGTGAGATTCTGATCATCAGAAGATATATTGGAAACAGGATTTCTACAAAGAGGACAAGTGGAATGAGATTGAAACCACATATCAATACAATCCACATGAAATCCATGATTACATTTAGGTAAAAGTCTTGCCTTTTCACCTTCAGAAACATCACAAAGACAAACAGCACATTCTAATCCATCTTTAAATTCTTTAGGATTGAATAAAACTACGGGAATAGATTTAAGAAGAGTGGGGTCCAGACCCCGGCGGAGAGCAGATGTAACATTATTCACTTCTTGATGATGACCGGCCGAAGAAAAGTTGAAGCCGTGCCGCCGCCGTGTGCTGGCATTAGGGTTGCCACCGTCTGCTTGACGGCGGCGATTCCATAACCATTTTGAGTAAAGGTGGAATAAGAAAACGAAGACTATCACAAGAAAAATAAGTACAATAGCTACCACCATTATTTTTCCAGTGAGCTCAAACGTACCTGATTCCTCTATTTTACCACCGGTATGGGACGCATCTTCCATTTTCAGACAATTATTTTAAGAATCTGAAACAAGAACAAACTGGGATTTTTCGTTGGTGCTGCTACAACCAACAAAGGGCAAAAAAAGAATAATTGAAGATTTTTAAGTTTTAATTATGAAAAGAATAAACCCAGAAAGAAAATATCTTGTATTGTCTATAAATTTTCTGAGAATGAAAACTTAATAGGAAAAATTAATAGCTGTAGTTGGCTTATAAAATGGGAACTGGGAGTGGAGAAAATAAAGATTTGGTCTTTAAAAGGAGACAAGAGGCAGAATTAGGAAATAGAAGAAAATGTGTAGATTCTTTAGGAAAATGACAGTAGAAAGGATATTTAGGAAAGATGAGTCAATGAGGAAAATGGTCACGAAATGGCTGCAGCGTCTAGAATGAGTAGTAACTAAAATCTAGAATAGTATATGAAACCAAACCGAGAGTCTCCCCAAGAGCAAGGTGGGAAGTTTTTGGAGGGAAGGATGTCGGGGGTCTATTTGGAAACAGTCTCTCTACCCTAGGGTAGGGGTAAGGTCTGCATACACGCTATCCTCCTCAGACCCCACAAAGTGGAATTATACTGGGTTGTTATTGTTGTTGTTGTTGTTGTTGTTGTTTGTATATGAAACCAAACGACGAACAACATTTCAACACCTTCCTTTATCACTTCAATAGTTATCAGGGAAGCTTCTCCTCTTACCATGGGCTAATGGCGGAGCTAGGATTCGAGTCTCGGTAAAGTTGTCTCCACGAAAGCGGTTATTAATACTTGCGGTAAAGTAAAGGGTGAAATTTAAAAGTAGTCAGATTTATAAGTGGTAATAAAAAAATAGTCATAATTTTAAAAGTAATCGAAATTTAGTCATTTTTCGTGTAAAGATAAATCTGAATGAAAATACTATTCAAAAGCCGGAAAATATTCCAGTATAATATGTTGAAAGTTTATATACAAGTGCTCCAATCTAAAGTATATTATGCTGGAACAGTGGAACTTTCCGTGTGTTGGAGTTCCAGCATAATATACTGGAAGTTCATACATGGGTGCACTAATCTCCACTATATTATGCTGGAACTATTCGTGTTGCAGCAAAATAGTGGCTATTTTTCAATGGTTTTGCAAACGCTGGCTATTTTTCAATTATCAGTCCGAAAACTGGCTAGCCCGTACTATTTTTACCTATGTTGCGTGGACTCTCCAAAATGTTGCTACACCCGTCTGTCAGATCCTTCGAAATGCACGAATTTTGGAGGACCCGAACGTATGCTGCCACATTTTCGAAAAGTCCGAGTAACATAGATTTTTACTAGAGTAGACTGTCTACATCATACTTTTTGAAGTTGGGTCTTTCCCTCGACCGTGGATGAACATGGGACGCCTTTGTGCACTAGGTTGTATCTTTTTTTTCCCGTAGAATTGAAGCATGGAAATTCTAGTCTTTTTGAGTTATTAAATTTTATATTATTAAGTTACTAGGTTTGGCCAAACTAATATCTTGCCACTTAGTTTCACCACACTTTCAACCTTACAACAATCATCAGCTAAAAGAGAAACTGTGACGAGATTCTCGTAAGGATTGTTTGGTCCAATCACTATTTTAGAATAAAATTTATTTTGGAATTAGCTAATACATATAATTAAATATGAGAAAAATACAATCACAAATTCTATCCCGAAATTATTATCTTATCCCTGATACTAAACGACGACCTCTCAAGATTTATGTAACCAATAAATTTTGGGAGATAGAGTTCGATTATTTATTTTTAAAGTTTAAGAGTAAAATTTTATATTCGAGTTTTGATATAAATGTATGCAACATTCAATGGTAGAAGATAGATAACAATTCAAAGATTAATTATATTGATAAGACAAATAAAATGGTAAAATTGCCTTTCTGCCAAAATATTATCAGATTCCTACTTAAGGTCAATTGAAAATAAAAATTAAAATCAAACACATATTTTTAGTTACACTTTATATATATATATACTACTTATTTTAATATGATGCACCAAACAAATCATAATAATTTAGTACTTATTTATGAATTCAACAAAACCACCCGTTAACGAATGAGTAGTGGAGGTTGAGGATGTCACGCCCGTCGGCAGGGAGCCCCAGTCATGTGTTGAATATTTCTATTTCCTATTTTTCTATTATATAAAAAAATAGAAGAGGAGGTCGACTAAGGGCATCATGGTCATTTCAAAGATATTGCTGCATTGTTTGCTTGTATAATAGGCTCAAAGCTTGATTGTGTGTTTTTAATGACAGATAAATTCTATTTCTATTATTATTATTATTATTATTATTATTATTATTATTATTATTATTATTATTATTATTATTATTATTATTATTATTATTATTATATAGAAAAAAATAGAAGAATAAAGAAAAGGAGAAAAAAAGTAAANATTATTATTATTATATAGAAAAGAGAAGAGGAGCTCTGCCCTACCGGACAGGGGTAAGTTCTGCGTACACATTACTCTCCCCAAATCTCATTACGTGAGATTTTACTGGATAATTGTGACTGTGACTGAGAAAAGAGAAAAGGAGCTCTGCCCTACCGGACAGGGGTAAGGTCTGCGTACACATTATCCTCCCCAGATCCCACTACGTGAGATTTTACTGGATAATTGTGACTGTGACTGAGAAAAGAGAAGAGGAGCTCTGCCCTACCGGACATGGGTAAGGTCTGCGTACACATTATCTTCCCCAGATCCCACTACGTGAGATTTTACAGGATAATTGTGACTGTGACTGAGAAAAGAGAAGAGGAGCTCTGCCCTACCGGACAGGGGTAAGGTCTGCGTACACATTATCTTCCCCAGATCCCAATACGTGAGATTTTACAGGATAATTGTGACTGTGACTGAGAAAAGAGAAAAGGAGCTCTGCCCTACCGGACAGAGGTAAGGTCTGCGTACACATTATCCTCCCCAGATCCCACTACGTGAGATTTTACTGGATAATTGTGGCTGTGACTGAGAAAAGAGAAGAGGAGCTCTGTCCTACCGGACAGGGGTAAGGTCTGCGTACACATTACTCTCCCCAAATCCCACTACGTGAGATTTTACTGGATAATTGTGACTGTGACTGAGAAAAGAGAAGATAAGCTCTGCCCTACCGGACAGGGGTAAGGTCTGCGTACGCATTACCCTCCCCAGATCCCACTACGTGAGATTTTACTGGATAATTGTGACTGTGACTGAGAAAAGAGAAGAGGAGGTCGACCAAGGGCATGATGATCATTTCAAATATATTGATGCATTGTTTGCTTGTATAATAAGCTAAAAAGCTTGGTTGAGTGTTTTTAATGATAGATAAAACCAAAGGTAACATGGCCCTATGCTATTGAGTTGGACCCCACTTCCCATTCAACCTTCACTATCTTCTTTAAATGCACTACTTGAGTCTGTTTCGACATACAAATTTTTTCCTTTTTTTCATTTTTTTTTTTTGAAAATAATGTTTGGTTATCCCATTCTTACCAATTTTTCTTTTTTGACTTGAAAATTCTTTTTCAATTAAAAATAAGAATTTGCTAGTTTTTAATTTTACAAATTTATTCTATATTTTTAAAATTTATAAAATGACCCCATCAGTTTTTCATTTTTGGCAGATACATCTTTGGCGACTGATTGTGGAACATCAGTCCTAGTTGATACTTGAACTCTACCTACTGGAAGATTGATTATATGGTTATGACTTATGAGGAATATGTGGATATGCCTGCTTTTGCACCTTTTTGTGTGTTAGTAGAATTAGAAAATGTGATATTGATTTTGCATCTTCTGTGTATTGCAGTAAAGTAGAATATGATAACAGTTAAACAATAGCATTTTGATTATTTATTTCAAATAGGATAATCAAATTGGGGTGGTTTTGATATTTTCTATAAGTTGTGGGGTATAAATCATGTTTTATGGTTTTGAAAAAACAGACATCTAAATATGTTGCAAAAATTATAACCAAACACAACTTCATCTTCAATTCAAATTTTAGTGAAATTCCAAATTTGAAAAAAAATAAAAAAAAAAATTGGAATTGATGTCCAAACGCCTACTTAATTATTGTTACTCTCCAATTTGTTTGAAAACAGATTACTTCTCCCCTTCACTGTTTACAAAAATATTTTTTTCAATAAGAACTTTTAACTAGAAAAATTATCTTCTTGATAATCTATAATTCAAACATTCATTAAATTAAAAGTATACTATGGTAACACATTAATATATAACAATTATATTATCTCCTTTCATTTTTTTTTACATTTACTGACTATTTCAGGTAAAGTAGATTTTACAAAAAAGAATTGACGATAATTTATGTAGATTTATATTTAAGATGTTCTTATATTGTTATCAATTGATATCATTTTATCAAGGTTTTGATTAAATTGTAATTTCAATTGAAATACTTTATAAAATTAGCAAAAAACTAATTAAGAATAAAATATTAAAATTTGTTCAAATTGTAATAAAAGGATTTCCGCTCTAAAACATTATTCCCTCCGTGTTCAATAAGAATTCAATATTATATAAATTTTAAATACATAAATATACAATTAACTATTTTTGAAAAGGCTCAACAAAGAATTATGATGAAGAGAGTTGTATTACACCCTAAATAGTATCTCAAACAAATCAAATGAAGAAAAAAAACGATAATGTTTCAATTTGAGGTAAATTTGATTAGTATTTAGAGTGATCGAGAAATTAATTTATTTTTGATAAATTATTTAGATATGTCACTAAACTAGAATAAAATACAAATTTATTGTTAAAAAATTCTTAATAAATAAAAATTACGATTATTATTTTAAAGAACCAAAAAACACCTTTTCCTCAACTATTTGGGAATAAAATTAATATGTTTTATTATTCAAATTTGGTTAGCATAAAATATAAAGTAATACATTAACACAATTGAAAATAATAAAAGAGTAAAATTATATATAGTTCAATTTAAACAATGAGAAATTACATCACAACTTATTTTTCAACTGACTTTTTAATCATTTTTTATAATCAATTTTAAATTTGGTGGTGCAGAACTTTTCTAAAATAAAAAAGAGTAGAACCTACGTACAAATACTCTAAATTGTACTTCAAGCTTTGTTTAATTTTTATATCATACGGTGTCAAACTTCGACAAGTATTACAAAGTGATTAGTATAGTAATACGATTTGTGAAAATTCACATAACACAACAACAACAACAACAACACACGTAATAGTGATTTTATTCGTTGTTACACAAAAGCCTATATCTTTTCTTCTTTCTCTAAAGGCAAATAAAATGTATGATTAGTAATAGACCAAGAAATATTAAAAGAA